TATACCTCTTGCTGATTGCACCAGAGGCAAAAGTGTGTGTGTGTGTGTGTGTGTGTGTGTATGTGTGTGTACTATGTAAGACTGTAAAGAAGATCCATGCTGAACCAGACTGAAGGCGTATTTAGTCCAGCTTCTGTCTTCACAAAGGCCAGGTGAATGCCTCCAGCAAGATCATTAAGTAGGGTAACATAGCACCCTTCTACTTATGTTTCCTAGCACATGAAGTTGAGAAGCATTCAGCTCTGATACAGTTATTGCTTTGTTTAGGCATCCATGAATTGCCTTATCTTCCATAAGCTTGCAAATTCCAATATAAAGCCATCTCAATCAAATGCCTCTTCCTTCCAGTTTACACTATTTATAAACATCAGCTGAATTGTTGGCTACCATGTGCCAGTATGTTTTAGCAATGATTGCATATCTCTGTCTAATGAGGGTTCAGTGAACGCTCTGATTCTGTACAGTCTACATACAAAAGGGTTTATGTAGACTGTTGCAGATATAGCAACTTCCTCACGTGGTGTTTCTCGCTCATGCTTGTGAGCTAAAACCCATTCCAGTCATTTCTTAGAACATTTCCATCTGGCTCCACAGCGGTTAGAATGCCTATAAGTATAGGTGTCTGGCACAAACTGTGATTATGGAAAAAATAATAATAAAATAAAATGTGTGTTGAGATGTCGTGACACAGACCCCATTATACACGTGGTACAACATAGGTTTTGTCATTCCCTTCCCCTGGGGATGCCTGGGCCTGTAGGATGACACCCAAGTAGAAAGTCCTTAGTCTTATTTCATATTACAAAAGTACTGTTTAAAGAAGCCAGAATATGTCACGTACCAAGCCGAGCATCCCTTAGCGAAACCTGTCAAGAACAAAAGAAAAAAAGATCAGTGGGGAAATAGAGGCCCAAACCCAGAGAATGTCAGGCAATATCTGTGTGCCTTTCAAAGCATCAGAGTCCTCTCTTCTTGCAGTCCTTTCCACACAACTCCAAAACAATTTTGGACAGTTAGGAAAGCTTTCAGAGGGGCTCTGATGCTACACAGGGCTTCTATTAGAAAAGAATCCTGGCAGAAGAGCAGACAGTCCACAAGGATATTTTGGATCACAGGCCTTGTAGACCATGCAAATGGGGTAGGAAAATATTTAATGGAAATTTTACCCAGCTGCAACCCAGCAATTCTCAGCAGTATACTGACATAAAAGATCCATGGCACAGTTAGTAATCAGTATATAATAAAGCAATTAAAAGCATTACAGGCTATCTCTAAAACCAGTTCCTATGGTGTTCTTCAACTGACACAGCCCTCTGAAAAAGCTTGGCTTGACTGGCTTCTGGCGGGTCAGAAATAGCCCACTCAACTTGATTGCCCAAGGGAGACGTGGGCACAACAAAGGGACCACTAGGCAGAAGTCCTTCCTCCCATCCTCAGCCCCTCAATGTTGCAAGGGGGGGGGGAATACAAGCCATTTGGGCCAGTCATTTTCTCTCAGCCCAACTCACATCACAGGGTTGTTGTTGTTGTGGGAAAAGCAGGAGGAGGAAGCATCATGTACACTGCCTTGAATGGTACAAAATAAAAGTGAGATACAAATCTAGCATATAAATAGACAAATAGGCTGGATGAGAGATGTAGTGTGGTTTCGTAAACAGCTGCAGTGACATTCTGATCCAAGGAAGCGAGTTCACTTACAAGTTTAAAACTGACAACTCAGGCCAAGGCTAAAGCAAATCTCATTGTAATTATACATGTTGAGCCTGTTCAGTCAATCCTTTCCATCCCAATTTTCTATGTGTAGAAAAATTAAAACTGAGTCTGGATTTTGCATAACTGTCTCTGACTCCCTCATGATGCGTGTGTGTGTGTGTGTGTGAGAGAGAGAGAGAGAGCACGCGTGTGAGCACACACATGAGGGAATTGCATTTACTGAATGTTTTTAATCCAAAAACACACCTTGATCACATAACCAGAACATTAAATGACAATTTTAGAAAAATTGCTATATGTTGATTTAAGCATTATATGTACCTTGGATAATGCAGAGGCATGCCTGAAGATTTCCGGAGAATGATCTGCAGGTTCATCACTTCTTTCATTAGTTTTAGCAGCTGAGGAATAACATTCAAATATATTTAGTGTGTGTGTGTGTGTGGGGGGGGAACCTGTATTCTTTAATTCACAGATCAAAACACATTATTTTGTTGAAATGTTTTCATTTGGAATTTTTATCTTTTTTCCCCCCTATTTTGTTACTTTAAGCAATGTTAACCAATACACATTTTTGCAATAAAATTAATGGAATCCAAGCACAAAGGCTTCATCAATCCTACTGAATCAGTACCCTGCCCAGGTAATCAAACACTGCAATTGTCCATATAGAGTATGATGCAGGCCCTTTAACATTCTTATTTCTGAGTCAGCCCCTGGTCCACTCAGCACGGCCTATCATAACAGCAACTTGTTCCCAGGGTTTCAGCTGGAAGTCTTATCCAGCTGTATCCTGCTGATTTGAGACAGATAGAAAAGGCAGATAACTATTTCCTAACCTGGTGCCTACTATTCAGAGGTACTGAAGCTACAACTCCCATAGCGTTTGGTCAGCATGCTGGCTGCAGAGTTGTAATCCCAATGTCACAGAGTTGATTCTCATTAGTGATCATAAATATGGTCACTCTATTCTAGAATTTGGGTTTTTTAGTCCACTTTTTCAACCACCTGAAAGGTTTGCAGCTGTATCCTCCAGCTTGAAGGATTAGTCAAAAGGTGCTGGTAGTTTTGAGGGCATGAAAAGGGATTTTGACAAGGTAGGTAAGAGTAACACAGCAAGAGTTTGATTAGCAAATGGTTCTTTTAGAAGCTAACCCCTGATCCTTTTGTTGGCCCTCTCCTCCATCAAACATGTACAGGACCCCCAAATCAGCAGACATACTGTAGGTAACTAAAGCCAAATTACAATCCATATAGAATGAAGTACAAGCCGGGGGGTGGGGTTGCTAAAGGCTATTGCAAAAGCAGATAAATTGCATAAAGAACACTTTGGGAGGGAGGAGAATCACTGATAAGCTATATGGAGCTCTCTGTGTACGATTCCCAATAACAGCACCTGGTCAAGGGCAAGGTTGCTCTTTCTTTTTCTAATCAACTCATTACTGTCTGACAAGATTCTTTGCTCCAAATAAGGCTACACAAAGGGATGCAGATGATGCATGTAACCAACTGAAGCAAAGTGCTTGCTTGCAAATGTTTGTCTTCTGAATGAGAACACCCTGTGATCACAGTTCCAATCAAACAGGTTTAGAGCACTCTTCAGCTGTTGTTTTGCAGTTAACTGGGGTTAAGAAAAAGTCCTCAACACTTGGTTGTCCTTTTTGAAGACTCACTGCTGTAGCTTCTGAGCATCTTCTGCATGGGATTCTTGGCCCAGGAGCCTCTTAAGCTTGATGGCCTTGCACTAGTATCAACCTTACCACTCATAGTGCAACAGCAGAGACAGAATTCCATGTGTTAGGATGTTATTGTGAATTGCCTGCCTGTGATTTTTGGCATATTGCACTTCTGCCAGTGCCAAATGCGGAATGGAAAAAGTAAATCATAATTTCTGAACTGTATGTGGAATCATGTTTTTCCTCCTAAACTCGTTCTTCTGATCTACATGAAAGAGATTCCAGTAAACAGAGATCACCTCTGCACATTCCACCATATCCAGCCTATACAGAGTCAGAGGCAAAAAAGTAGGCACCTTCATCCAGTACTGATCTGGAGAATACCTCTGCGCATATATGGAAGAATGTACAATTGTTGTCAAAGGAAATGATTCGCCGTATTTTGTAAAAACACTTTCCCTTTTTCCTCCTGAAGCACGAAGACGGTATTTATGATCTTGCTCTGAGAAAGCAAGCAAACCCTTTAAAATGCATATGCTTTGCTTGTATGCTTTTTAAAAACTGAAGCTTTAATGTTTCTCTGGAAGATGAGAATCACCTGCTTGTTTCCTTCTGCACAGGAAATGAACTTCCTTTTATACATAGGAATTCACTGATGTTCTGTAATAATAGTGTGCCTTTAACTACTTAGGAAAGAGAAGCAAATCTGAGGGAAAAACATGAGTTCACTTTTATGCCTGAACTTAAGCTGACCTACCTGGGGGTTTTAAGATAGTATTCACTGCATAAATCACACCATTGGTAGCCATAATATCAGCTTCGGCAACAGGCTCCTTGTTGACATTTATTATGCGGTTTTTCTGAAGCAGAAAAAGTAGAGATAAATTGTCAGAACATATGAAGAAGTAAGACTAGAGAAGATAAACTAATTTGCAAAAATCTACTTAATATATAGGTAAAGATTCTAATATTTATATATGAGAAGGTTAATTTATATATCAGCAGGTTTTTAAAAAATAAGGAAGCTTGTAGAATTGAATGGTTTCAGATGTTTTGGACTCAGAAATAAAAGCTGGAGCAAGCTATGTTTAAAGGAAGTACAGCATAATTTATATTCATCTTTTTCTTTGCGCTGTGCTACATCTTTACTGTGGTGAAGATACCGGGTGGGGCTGTGGAAGCTTAGGCTGAAGTAGGCACCCAGTGACAGAGTTCATGGGTGGTTCTGGGCCAGTCACAATCTCTTAGCCCAACTTAAGAATTAAGTGAGAGGGAAAATCCCATTGGTTCTGCCTTGAGCTCTAAAAGGAAAGATACAATTCAGTCATAATTTCAGGGAAAACTATCCCCTGCCTTGCCACCCCGATATAAATTCATTCTGAAGCCCTAGCCTGAACTGAGGAATGGATCAACTAGTGTGTGCGTACACACAGGCACACTGATTAATCTGTGGTACACGCCAACCATAACTCATTGGTCTTTCTCTGTAAGACTGATCCTGGCTGCCTAGCCTCTGTCTCTGGATAGTGTAATTAGCTAATTAAGTTGTCAAGTAACACTATACAGTACCTTGGTGTGCTTTCAGGCAAGGTTTTTGTTGTTGAACTACTCTGCCTCAAACACAGACTTTACAAGAGTTCTCTTTTGTGACAATCCCATGGTTCCTCACACCTTTTCCATCTTTTGTCTTAACAACAACATTAAAAGGTACAAAGACAACAGAGCTGTGTAACGCCTTTGGTTTAATAGTACTAAAACTAATTATCTGGAACCATGTAGGAAAATTTCTTATTTTAGTGCTATTCCCCATAACAAACACAGAAATAAAATTTTGCCTAAACAGTGTTAAATAACTAATACAATATAAAGACTAGCTGTCACTCCCAACTGTCCAGCAGGACTTGCTTTGAGATCATACAGCAGGAAGAATGAGAACACTGGAAGAGTAAATCAATACTAATTTTCAATAATAGAGAGGTTGTCCACTGGGAAAGAAAACAGATTTTCCCCTAACATTAGACTTTAATAGTTTTACTTCCTGAGGCTCCATCTGGCAACTTCCAGTCTGCTAAGTCCTTGTGGCCTTTTTTAAAAAAAAATAAATAAAAGTGATATAAATTGAATAGCTGTTCTTTAAACTGCATTACGACAGATTGAGCTACAATGGGAAAAAAAAAACTTTAAAAAAATAAGAGGGAAGACCATAAACTTACAGAGCTGACTTCCAATTTATCACCCTGCAGAGACTTGATTCTTACAACAGCACCGACTGCTCCACTCACTAAAATTTCATCCCCAATGTGGTACTTCAGGATGTTGGCAAGTTCTTTTGCATTACCTGGGACAGGAAGGGAAGAGGAGGCCAATAATACATCAGTGTTATAGCTTATTTCCCATGTTCCATGGTAACTAAGAAAGAAAACAAAATGTCATGCTGGCAGCGTGCATAAGGGGGAAAAATACCGAAAGTGTTTCCCTTCCCATTAAGCAAGCAGCTGTTTCTCTGTCTCATGCTCCTATCAAGATTCCCCTTGACAGCCATAGCAATTCCTTCCCTCTAATAAACTGTTTCTCACTCTACAGCTGGAGCATTTTGTGCAACAGCAGGAGGGATACAGCGCCCCAAACAGAAAGAAACACATTTCTTCATTTTAGCTCTTCAAGTGCAAAAACACGTGATCCAAAGGATTTGAAATTTTGGAAACCTATCAAAGAAGCCAAATTGTGCTCTCTTTTTAGGTCAAATGCTGGCTTGGCATAACACCTGCTTTTCAATTTTTTTCTATCACGTTGACATAACTTGCTGCTTTTTCCTGATGCTGAATATTTCTTAAATGAAAGAGAATAGCACCGTATATTGGCACTGAGTCCTCACAGCTAGCGTATAAAATTGCTGTCTGGCAGAAATGTCGAAATGTGGCCAAAAACCAGCTGGACGAAGGAGGGGAGCAAATGCTGTGTTTTGGAAAAGGTGAAATTGAACCCCAAACAGAAGTTACTTGATAAAGTCTAAGATAAATATAATTCCTTTTTTCCCAGAGACTTTGGTAGACATGGAACTACATTTAGAAAGAAAGAGCAGTATTCATCTTTGACCTTTGCCTGTGGCAAAATGTTGAACTCTGAAGTAATCACTGAATTATCTAAATTATAATTATTGAATTATCTGGACACAAGGAATTTGAGGATGAGGATGATAATGATGGTTTAGCTTAGTTTTACACCCCTACGGATTAAAAGTTGAGATACTGAGATACAGAAGCGATAACAGGCAGGTATTTTACAATACCATCTACATCACATTTTGCATAATTTACATTGCTAACATGTTTAGCTATGATTATCAGATTGGTTGATATAGCCACGCAACCCAGTCAAAATCCAGTGGTCCCAACCCTACTCAAAATACCACAAAGGCAGTCAGAAATCTCTCGTTCTATGGACCAGCTTGTTTCACAGAACTTCGCTGCTGCAGCTGAGAATGAGGGGTAATTGAATGTATAGTTAATTTGATCAGAGCTGTTATGTGGAATTATGGTCCAGTGATCTCAGAGTTCATTGCTATCCTGTACAATATTTAGGATCAGGGAATCTGTTTAATATGAATCCTGTATTCCTGAAAAACCAACCCAAATTTCATGTATCAGAGTATAACTAAACTAGCCAAACCTTGGCCAAAACATTCTACTAGAAATTAGCAGGCTTTCCATCATCATCTTGATGTGCTTTTATAGTTTACAAAGGCCAGTCTGGTACTAGTTTTATAATGTGTGAAATATTCAGCATGGTCTTCATTTTTAAGAGATAAAACAACAAATCATAACTTCTTCCTTCCCTTTTTTTCCCCTCTTACACAAGTCTGCTTCTCTTCTGTATTTTCCTACCTATGATTCATCACTTTCAGAACAGTAAGCTAAACATTTTGCTTACAAAGCACAAGAACATTTTGACTGTTCACATCTGGGATGTTTCAGCATCACAACTGCTTACAGTAGCTACAAATCAGTTATAAATATATCTAAACAATAGAACAAATGTGCAGAGTGCTGCTGTAGGAACTTAAAAGGGATAATTAGTCCTCATAAGAAGATCTCTGCTTCATTATATCTCAAAACTGTTAGGCATCAATAAAGAGGTTATTGGTCAAAGCCATAATTAGATTTCAGTGCATGAGCAAGAATGCTTCAATATTTGCACAAAAGATTACTGAACGTCCACATGCCACTTCCTGATATGGCTTCATACCAATGTATTTTCAGTATATATTAGTCATCTAATCTTTGTCATTACCGAACTAACACTTATGATGTTACTACATTGAATCTACACGTTTTGATCATATTATTATTGCTAGAAAATTCTGGGAGTTGATATTGCTAGAAAATATCTGGATAGCGACTGGAATTTTGGATGACTTTACAATCAGCTGTGCATGTATAGACAGTCTAGAAGAATGGATAATAATGAAGGTGATGGTGAAATTATTACTGGTTGCGTTGTGTTAGAAGAACACAAGGCTTTCTTTGGCACAGGAATTTCTGTTTGCCCCCTCTTTCTCCTGCCCTCAATGCCTTCCTTTCCCATTCTAATCTGCTTCAGTTGGTGAATCAGTTCCATTAATGGATGTGGATCTATTGCAGGAAAATGTGGCTAGATATATTCATGAGTAGTAGCAGTAGAAGTAGAAATATTTCCTAAGTCATTATTTTAGTTGAGTTAGGTAGTAAAAGTACACCCTTTTCTTGCAAGGAGGAGGAAAAAAATCAGATTTTAGAAATTTAAATAAATACTAATGCAACAAACACTAATAGAGTAGCTTACTTATAAAACCCTCTGTCCACGTGTTTGTCTAATAATATTTCTGAGCACTACTTTTTTTCACCTATATTTCTATTTAATAGACTAGTACATCAAAGTGAAGCTAAGTATTTTTTGAGACTAAAACAGAATTAAATACTGGAAGTTTACTGGAAGGCTAAGAATAGGTAATATAAATATAATCTATCAATAAGATCCTGGAAAGTTACCCATAAGTTTGTTCAGCTCCCTTTGAGGCATGGCTTGGAAAGCTTCATTTGTCGGTGCAAACACTGTGAAGGATCTTGGCCTATTCAGTGTTTCAGTTAGGCCTGCAGATTGGATGGCAGCCACTAGGGTACTGGAAGAAATCCACAAATGAACAGAATTATAAATTTCCAAAGGCAGTATAAAATATGACAGCTAAAATACAGCAGCCCTGATCTCTACATGGAGTTACTGAGCAAATGGCTTCTTCATTCATTTTATTGTCAGAACCCACATACCTGTAATAACTTGTTGAACTGGAGCAAAGTGTTTAAGGATATTTAGCAATTACTTTTAAGCTAAGATTTCCCTGCAGGCCGGTTGTTTTACTACTTGAGAAGTCTGATCTACAGAGACTTTAACATTTGCAGTTCACAAACTGTTCCCATTAGGACAAAAGCATCTGAGTGGCCTGTCTGGCAAATTTGCTGGAGATGACAGAGATTCAGCCAGTTTCAAAAAAGGTTCAGTGAGCACTGTTGGTTAACTCCAGGGAAGTCTGCATGGGGCTTCAAAAAAATTAAGATGGCAGTTGTGACTTGTGATCAAAGCCCTGCCCTTTGTATGTGTATGTGATGTTGATGTACATACAAAAATAATGGGTCTTTGATCATGTGGTTGTGACCACCATCTTGACTTTTTGACTGACTCTGAAGATGCCACTGGTTGACTTTCTATCTAAACACTGAGAAAATAGCTTTTTTAAAAGGCTGAATATAAATTCATAAAACCACCAAACATGTTTTAAAAAATGAAGTTTAAAAAGCAAAAAAGGAACCCCTAACAGTTCCACCTTCTGTAGGTCTTTCCTCAGTGAAGGTCCATGAATATCCTATAACAGAACAGCCAAAGGAGTAAGGAATTACTGTATATTTCATATTTCTATTCAGCTGTCCCCCCTGCACACACACACACACACACACACACACACACACACACACTGCTGTGAAAGTTAACTCAAGGATCAAAGCTTCTTTAGGTTAATCAATTTGAAGAGGGAGGGCATATGAAGATGTAGGAACTGTACCCAGACATGCTCTTCTCCTTTGTTGCCCTAGGGCACAGCTTGTATGTAAGCTTGGAAGGAAGAGACAGGTTTGGTAGGTTTATGGTTATCTTTCTGTAATATTCCATCCTCAGAGAAGGATCACATCATTATATTATAACTATGTGCCAATGTTTTAATACAACCAATGTCATTTAGGACTGCACTGGGCACATTAGAAGAGATGAAAAAGATTCTTCTCAGAAACTTTGGACATCACTACCAGTCAATAGAGACCATAGTGACTCAGATGAGTCAGTAATCTTGGGTAGTTAAAAATAGCTTATGTGGACTGTCTATTTTTTAATATACAAGAGGAACACATATCTAAAAGATAAATATATGTTTTAAAATGTAGAAACAATGGGCTCCCACAAATAATCCTTGCTGAAACAAAACGACTTTTCCTACTCAACTGCCATGCAATAATAGTAAGAAGTAAAACTATTACCTGAAGCGATTGTCTGCTTTGAGCACATCCATAACAGTTCCTACGGGGGGAATTAGCATCTTATCCATCGCAAACAAAGTGCCAAATCTTCCTCTCTTGTCATGGGCAGCAATACAAGCATTTTCTATGCAGAGATTCTATAAGAGGGATATATCATAGTAATTTGGAATTTGTGACATTTTATTAAGTCCTCATAATCAGGCCCAAACACAACTGCCCCTCCCCCATTATTTATATAAATCATATAAATAAATGAAGATAAATATCCCCTTTCTGGCAATTCCCTATGGATTCCCCAAATCTGTTCCAGAGGAACCACAAACTTCTAGAAAAACTGTGAAGACTTCCTAGGGCAGTGTTGTCCAAACTTGGCCACTTTAAGATGAGTGGAGTTCAACTCCCAGAATTCCCTAGCCAGCCATGCTGGCTGGGG